TTAGGCCAAGCAAGGTTCCTAATTTAAAGCTAGGCCTTTTCCTTCAGGCTAGACCCACCCACTTCACACCTAGCCATGCGGGAGAAATTCAGTTCAGATAGTATTTAATGGCAAACTTATCTAATCTGCAGATTCCAAAATAAGCAAGCTGAAACACAGCCATCCTTTGGAATTTGCACTTTACCCAATTTTAGTACAGACCGTTGGTCCGTCAAGTTAAGTGATCCTCAACCTGGGGCTCTACAGACATCTTGATCCACCCACCCAACCCAAGCATTTGTCACGCTGGTTGGGATGGATGAGAATAGGAACCCAACAATATATAGAAGGCACCAGGTTAGGGAAGGTATTGTGTGACTGGCAGTATCTTTCCAGGGTTTCAAATAAGAGTCGTTCCCAGATGTAGCTGGGGATGCCAGGGATTGAATCTGTGTGTAAACTGGGTGCTCTAACACTGAGCCACTGTCTTTCTTGAAATATATATAGGAAGCTGCTTGACACTTGAGCCAGACTATTGGTCTATTTAGCTCAATAATGTCCACACTGACTGGCAGCAGCTCTCCAGGTTTTTAGGCAGAGCGTAATTCTCAGCACTACCTGGATGTGCCAGGGATCGAACCAGGGACCTTCTGCATGCTGAGCAGGTGCTACTCAGCTGCATCCCTTCCCGTATTTGACACCTTATTTTCTGGAACATAGGTGAGTGCGGGATGGATCTTGCAATGAGAAAACAAAATAGCCTATTGTGATGTCCTCTGGGGCTCTATTGACCTCACCACTCATTCTCGCTTCTAAATATGTACTCATTACCCAGAAAGAACTACCAAGAGAAAACATAGGATATTTGCGGCACACAGACAAAACGTTGATGATTCATCGGGGATTTTCATCCCTGTCTCATTCAGCCTTTCTCTCCTCTCTTTAGGGAAACTTTGCCAGGCTGTTCCAGTGGGCAGAAGGCAGGAGAAAGAGAGAGAGAGAGAGAGAGAGAGAGAGAGAGAGAGAGAATATCCAAACTGGATTGTTGGGTCAGATCCAGGGCTGATTCAATGCATTTGGTATTGGATTTGATATCCCACTTTATCACTACCCTAAGGAGTGATACGAGTGATACGAAGTGTGACTAGCCCAAAGTCGCCCAGCAGCTGCATGTGGAGGAGCGGAGACGCGAACCCGGTTCACCAGATTACGAGTCTATCACTCTTAACCACTACACCACACTGGTTCTCTGGTATTCATTGCTAATGGGCTCTATCAGACCACAGTACCGTAGACCCTCTGGAATCCCCTGACCATAGAAACATGGGATGCTGTCTGTAGAGCCGGACTGTGGTCCAGCTAGTTCAACATTGTCTACATTGATTGGCAGAGTTCTCTAGGGTTTTGGACTGGAGTCTTTTCTCCAAGTCTACCTGGAGATGCTGGGGGATCACACCTGGGACTGCATGCAAAGCAGTTGCTTGACCACTGAGCTACAGCCCTCTCTCTCTCTCTCTCTCTCTCTCTCTCTCTCTCTCCTAGTTCTTTCTTAGACATCTCAAGTTGGCTGATTGTTTCATCAGTTGTTTTACCCATTAGTATCTTGTCTGGATTTTTAGTGGAATGTTTTAGATATCACGGTTAGATACTTGCTGAACTTCTCCCCTCTAGACCCTGTTAAGATCAGCAGAAGGGGCCCTCTTGGTAGTTCCACCACCCTCTGAAGTTCAGGAGGGGTTGTTGGACTTGAGCAGGGCCTTCTCTGTGGCAGCCCCTTAGCTGGGGCATTCTGTCCCCACAGTGGTGCACCTGGCTTCTTCACTAGACAGTTTTCGATGGATGCTGAAGATGCACCTTTTATCCTGACCTTTGACACCAGAGATGTGTGCTTCCAGAACCCATCCTATTCCTGTGCCTGTAGAGTCATAGAATCAAAGATGGTTGAGTCAGAAAGCACCCTAGTTCCAACTTCTGCAATTTGGTTTAACAGGGTGGGGTTAGAATCAGAGAATCATAGAGCTAGAAGGGACCACAAGGATCGTCTCCTCCAACCATCTGCAATGCAGGAGTCTTTTGTTCAATGCGGGACTCAAACCCACAACCCTGAGATTAAGAGTTTTGTGCTCTGCTGACTGAGCTATCCTTCAGTGTCTTTTATAAGTAATTTTCATTTGACCCATGAGATGCACAGAGTCCCTACATCAAGTCAAGATTTGAAATGTCATTATGAGATGTCCAAGCCACATGCTGCTTTCTTTGCATACAACTTCTGGTGTAAAAAAGCTTTAACAGGGCCTGCTTTGATAAGACCTAGGAATTCCATCTGGAGGGACGAGAAAAGCACACACTTTCTTCATGTGTAATACCATTGCTCTGTCCCTGCTCCTGCCAACCTAGCAGTTCGAAAGCACGTCAAAGTGCAAGTAGATCAACAGGTACCGCTCCGGCAGGAAGGTAAACGGCGTTTCTGTGTGCTGCTCTGGTTTGCCAGAAGCAGCTTAGTCATGACCCGGAAGCTGTACGCTGGCTCCCTTGGCCAGTAAAGCAAGATGAGCGCCACAACCCCAGAGTCGTCCGCAACTGGACCTAACGGTCAGGGGTCCCTTTACCTTTAATACCTCTTTTAGATTGCAAGGAGCCACCAACAGGAAGGATGAGTTCCATTCCTTGGTTTCAGGTTCTGGTTATGAGAACACTTCTGGTTAGAGAGAACCCTGTTTAGTGCTAACACAGGTGCTATTATTATCAACACCATCATCCTCATCAATTAAATTTGTATCCCCCCCTATACACACAGGTCTCAGCGGGGTTCACAAGATACAAACACAATAAAAACACAAAATACATAATCAAAATAAAATTAAAAACCATCCCAAGAACCCACCATCCCCAACACATATGGAAAAGGTATTGGATAACTTTCAGCTAAAGGCCTGGTTAATGAGGAACATTTTTGCCTGGTGCCTAAAGGTGTATAATGAAGGTGCCAGCAGAATCTCCCTGAGGAGAGTATTCCACAATGGGGAGCCACTGCAGAAAAGGCCCAATCTCATGTTGCCACCCTCTGGACCTCTTGTGGAGGAAGCACACGATGAAGGGCCTCTGAAGATGATCTCAGGGTCCAGGTTCATATGGAGAGAGGCGGCCCTCTCACAATCCTTCACTGTGGTTCAAGCAAACGATGGAAAAGGGAGATGGTGGAATAACAACAACAACAACAACAACAACAACAACAACGGCAACAACACTTTTGTTATATATACCTGTGATGGGATGATGAGCTGCTTGTGCGTAAAATCGTATCCCCTCAGAGTTTGTTCAAGTCCACAAACCTCTGTCTGTGACGGAGCCCCTCAGACATGGCTACTCTAGTCACTAGCAGATTCCGACAGTGGTTGCTTTCGTAATCGCTTCCAACATAAAAGCTCCTTAACGGAAACACGTCTTCTGGAATCTCTGCGTGACAGTTTCCGGCGAGGAGTGGGTGTTCTTGCAGGAGGTCCTGAAACCTCCCCACTGTTTTCGCTGGAAGTGTCTCTGAGCCATCCCTCCAGCTCAGCTCCTCTCCCCTGCTGGTTCCCTCTTCAGCTGCTGCGTCTCTCCCAACCTGTGTGAGCCCTTTCACCTCCCTGTTGGTTCCCTCTTCAGCTGCTGCGTCTCTCCCAACCTGTGTGAGCCCTTTCACCTCCCTGTTGGTTCCCTCTTCAGCTGCTGCGTCTCTCCCAACCTGTGTGAGCCCTTTCACCTCCCTTCCGTCCGATGGCAGTTCCCTGACATCCACCTCCCCTCCAGGGCCCCCTTCACCCCCTCTCGCCCCTCCTCTACGGGCGGTGAGGAGGCAAAACCCCGGAATGAACTTCCTTCATCTTCCGATGTCTCGAACACTTCTCTCAACCTGTTGCGGTTCCTGGTCTCGAGTACACCTCCTCCTCAGAGTCCATCTCCCCTTCCCCTTCCGAGTCCGGGAATCCTTCCAACTCCTCCCCTTCATCAGTGGTCCCAAAGTATTCCCTCCGGAACCTCTCCACAGGCTGAGGTTTCCTTGGGAACCTTTGATGGAACGTTTCTATCAATACCTCGTCATTGATATCTTCAGCCATTACCCAAGTGTTTTCTGACTCCGGTTCTCCTTCCCACGCTACCAAATACTCCACCTGATCCCCCTTCCACCTGGCGTCGAGGATTTCTGCCACATGGCTGCTGCATTCTCTTTCTTCTACGACCGGTCCCCGAGTGGCCAGCCCTTCTCGTCCCCCTTCGTACGGTGACAGTAACGACCTGTGAAATACTGGGTGCAGTTTCATGTGGTTGGGTAACCGGAGCCTGAAAGCCACTGGGTTGACCTGTTGAATGACCTCAAAGGGACCCAACCTCCTGGGTCTTAATTTCTTACAACCTCCTTTGAACGGCAACCCTTGGGTTGACAGCCACACCCTATCTCCCACCCTTATGGTTTCACCTTCCCTTCGGTTCTTGTCTGCCTGCCTCTTGTATTCTTCCTTCGCCCTTTCTAAGTTGAGTTGGAGCTGACGATGGATTGCTTCCATTTCTTCCACAAAATGCTCGGCTGCCGGGACGCTCCATCTCTCCCCTCTCCCCTGGGAAAGCCCTGGGATGACACCCATAATTAGCCAAGAAGGGGCTCATCCCTGTGGACACATTCTCGGCATTGTTGTAGGCAAATTCCGCCAGCGCCAACTTTTCTACCCAGTCATTCTCTCTGTCATTGACATAACACCTCAGGTATTGCTGGAGGACACCGTTTGCTCTTTCCGCCTGCCCGTTGGTTTCAGGGTGCCGGGCAGTCGAAAAATTGACCTCCACCTGCAGTAAGCTCATGAGCTTCCTCCAGAACCTGGAAGTAAATTGTTTTCCTCGGTCTGAGACCACCCTCAATGGCACCCCGTGCAACCTAAAAATGTTTTCTACAAATAACTTCGCTGTCTCTTCCGCCGTGACTGCATGCGAGCAAGCTACAAAGTGGCACATCTTTGTTAGTAGGTCTACCACCACCATGATGGCTGTTTTCCCTTTGGACTTCGGCAGATCAGTCATAAAATCTATCGACACTGCCTCCCAAGGTCGTTCTGGGGTTGGTAAGGGTTCTAATAGCCCCGCCGGCGCCCGCCTTTCCCCTTTGGCTCGCTGGCATTGCTCGCACCCTCTTACATACTCACGTACATCTTCCCTCACCTTAGGCCACCAAAATTCCCTGGTGACCAACCACATGGTTTTGTGTTGTCCAAAATGCCCCGCCGTAGGGCTGTCGTGCAACTGCTTGAGTACCCTCCCCTTAACTCTCCTTCAGGGATATACAGTGCCCCTTTGTAATACAAAGCTCCATTTCTTTCCTCGAAACCCCTGGTTCCTCTCCATCACCCCTAAGACCTCTGAGCTTATTCTGGGCGTATTCATCATTCTCTGTTTCCTCTACCAGTTCTCTTTGTCCCACCAATGCCGCCCCACACACCCAGCGGTCTTCTGGAATGACATGTCTCTCTTCGGGTGCCCCTCCCCTCCAAATATTCAGGTTTGCGTGAGAGAGCGTCCGCCCTAATGTTCTCTGGGCCTGGCACGTAACTAATCTCAAAGTTAAATTTGGAGAACTCCTGGGCCCATCTCACTTGCCGTTGGTTGAGCACTCGTGCCGTCCTCCAATACTCTAGGTTCTTGTGGTCAGTGCACACTTGCACCTTATGTTGTGCGCCAATTAGCAGGTGCCTCCATCTCCGGAACGCCTCATGAATGGCTAGTAGTTCTCGGTCATACACCGTGTAGTTCCTCTCGGATTTGTTCAGCTTTCGCGAAAAAAGGCACACGGTCTCCACTCTGACCCCTTCTTGCCTGGCTGCAGAAGCACCGCCCCAATCGCTCTGTCTGATGCGTCAGTTTCCACTCTCATCGGTTTTTGTAAATCCACATGCAGGAGTTGTTGTTCCGAGGCGAAGGCCCTTTGTAGTTCCTCAAATGCTCGCTCCGCCTCCTCAGTCCACACGAACTTCTTCTTACTGCTGAGACAGTCCGTAATGGGCGCCGTCAGGTGGGCAAAGTTTCGGATGAACTTACGATAGAAGTTCCCAAATCCTAGGAACCTCTGCACATCCTTCTTTGTTTTGGGTGTTTTCCATTCCAGCACCGCCTGGACCTTGCCGGGATCCATGGCCAATCCCTTGTCTGACAGGCGATACCCCAGGAATTCCACCTCCTTGGTATGAAACTGACACTTCTCCAGTTTCACCCACAGCTGGTTGGCTTGCAGCCTGCTCAACACTTCTCTGACGTCTCTCACATGCTGCTCCTCATTCTCAGAATACACCAACACGTCGTCTAAAAGGCCACACAATTCTTGTAAAGCAAAGGCCCCAGGACGTGGTTCATAAACGATTGAAATGTTGCGGAGCCTGCTTGTAGGCCGAAGGGCATAACCAAATATTCAAATGCCCCTAAAGGGGTGAACATAGTGGTTTTCCATTCATCCCCCTTCCTTATTCGTACCAGGTTGTACGCCCCCCTTAGGTCCAGCTTTGTGAAAATCTTTCCCTTCCGCACCCTTGTCAAAATGTCGTCAATCCTGGGCATAGGGAAGGCTACTGGTTCTGACACTGCATTTAAGGCCCTGAAGTCACACACCAGCCTCGGCTTGTTCGTGTTTTTCTTATCCACAAAAACACTGGGCTGCCCCCACCGCCCTGGACTCTCTGATGAACCCTCTCTTCAGGTTCTTGTCAATGAACTCTCTTAACTCCTGCATCTCTCTGTCTGACATGGCGTACAGCTTGCCTACAGGGAGCTGTGCTCCAGGGAGTAAGTTGATTTGACAGTCAAAGGGTCTATGCGGGGTAGTTGGTCAGCTTCCTTTCGCTGAAGACGTCACGGAGATCTGCATATTGTCGTGGTACCTTCACGTTCTCTGTTACTTCAGTCCCTGCTAGGGTGGCTTGGACCCCTGCCAAACCCTTTCCCTCTTTGCAGTGTTCTAAGCAATGTGCTGAACCAAAAGAAACCACTCTCTGATGCCAGCCCACCAGCGGATCATGTAACGCTAGCCAGCTCATCCCCAATATAATGGGAGCTCCTCCCAAGGTGGCCACATTAAAAGCTATCAGTTCGGTGTGCCTTGCTACCTTCATTATCATTGGGACG